ACTTGTAGTGTTCTTTCTAGAGAAAGCTTCAATTGCACCTGAGAATCTTATTTCGAATGTCTTTTTCCACTGAACAAAAAAACCAAATCGAGCCCAAGCAAATAAAAAATTGTTACCATCAAATTCCAGTAAAGACAAACAAAATACGTCAATTCACATGATTCAACTGCCAACAACTGTACTTCCAAGTACTCAGTAAGTTCCTGAAATTGTAGTTCATTAAGGGATTACTCACCACACATGAGGAAGCTGTTAGTTTATCATGAACACCAAGACACTATGCTCTTTGGGAAAAATGTTATGTCTGCACTGCAAGAACTAAGGAATTAAGCAATGATGATTAAGAAAATAGGTCTATTTTAGAAATATAAATTAAAGATATAAGAAATAAAAAACTCGTATGTTTTGCTTCGTTAGATGTCTAAGAAATGTTGAGTAGCTATGTCGCATTAAGATATAAATTACTTGACACGACACTTAGAAGTAAAGATGTAGAATATTGATGAAAGGAACCCTAGATCTAGCAATATAGCCACCTCATTTTTTGGTTTGCTGTTGATGTTCAGTCAGTGTGGTAATTCATAATAAAAGCATAACCAATGCTTCATTTATAAATTTTAAGAGCTTCACTACAGTACACAATTGTGTATAGTTTCTGATTCTGAGCTACAGACCCAAACATACCCTTCGTCAGAAACCACATCGCCGCCTGACTGATGAAGAATCCTCTTTTTATTGTGTATACACATCCTAGAAGGCATTACGAAGGTCCTGCAATGAGAATATGGGATTAGTGTAAAAACGGCAACTATGCTGCAAAAGTGTAAAATGTCATATTACAAAACAGAGGTGATAACATTGAAATACACATAGATACCAATAAAAGAGAAAATTAAAGATAAAAGAGACGTTGATAACAATTTATGATCACCTCTACAGAGAACCTTGACAAGCCAACCAAACATTTCAAATCTCCAGTTCCATGGTGGATCAGGCTTGAAAAATTACTTCATCCTTTCCGGTACCTCAGATACATCAAATAATACTGGTTTAAGTGTTACATGAAGCACATTTTCCTACAACTTACATATATCCTACACAAAGAACCCGAACTTGTAAACCCCCTGTTCCTAAAACATATAACATGATTCATCACTCATTCAATCATTCATCACTAAACTTCTTGTCCCTTTTCTACAAGCATTTCTAGACATCTCAACTTTCAAAAACATACCATCGCGAAAGCTAAAAACAGAAAGTCCGCAAACGAATGATTCACTAAGAAGTATTTATCACCTAAACCATTTAAAACCGGTTAACCATATCCCAAAAAATCTTACCGAACCAAAATCCTGACGCAGTTTGTCAAAATAACACCACTATCTCAACAATGTTTCAACAAGAAGAATCACTTCCCGCCTCAAGTTCCACAGTAAGCCAAAATTTAAAGAATCAAACAGAACCCAATCAATTATGGCAAAGAAAACACACACACATACAAAGAAAAATCTTGAAACAAACCAACTAATCACATTATTAACAACATCAAACAGTTGCATCACAACAAATTACAAAAAATCATAGAAAATGCACAAAAACCCCACACCTAAGTTTCACGATTTCCCACAGAACCCACCAAATATTACCAAAAAAAAAACATTTTTATAAAAACACATGGCCCTCCAAATTAACAGGCACATGCACACACACATGTAACATACCTCGCAAGAAACAACGCCTCTTCAAGGGCACACCTAAGGCTAGATTCTTGGTGCCCCAGACCCTCACACAAATAGCAGTGTTTTCCAGGGCAATCGATTTTGTTGCCCCAATATAAGTACTTCTCTTACAGAGTGTGACGATTCTTGGGCTTGTTCACCAAGTTATGCAAGCTACTCGAGGTGGAGAGAGAGAGAACCGTGGCATGGAAAGTAGAGATGAAGTAAGGTACAACAGGCGATGCATGCGATAGACGCTGTGAGGATTTGGAATGAAGAGTTGGGCTTTGTTGATTTTGACTTTGGATGGGGTTTTGGGATCGCTATTGAGATTTTGGGTTTGCTGTTGATGTTCAGTCAGTTGGATTCAAGATGATGAAATAGTTCATTTGATTTTGTCTTTTTTTCCTCATGCATTACCAGCCAGTGGGATTCTAAAAGCCAGTCACTCAACTGTTAAATTCATATTAAAAATAGAGTATACAACATAAATAAGAATATGCAATCAGTTACCCTCTGTTGGAAATTGAACCTATCTAAGGATACTTCAACAGTGTACAATCAAAGACGTAGTCAAATTGATAACCTGCATAAATTTTTTTAAAAAAAACAAGATATTCAAAGATGACTAAATAAGCAAGCAAATCACATAAGTTTTCAACAAGAAAAATCCTAAAAACCTACAAAGTTAGAAATCAATACACATCACATTAGTATCTCCCATTACCTTCACGAATAAATAAGTCATACAAAAGCCTCTTTAAATAGGAATATCTGGTTTGTCCTCGAATCATAATGAAAGAAAATAGTGAAAGTAAGATATGAACTCTGACAAATATGATTTACACACAACCTGTAACAATTGTAGATAATGTGAACTTTTTATGATATAGCAACTTCACTGGCCAAAGAGTTTCTCCTCCTAAGGTGTTGCCCAAAAGGTTAATACCATTTACCAAATTAGTGAATAAATTAGTAAAGTAAAAAGTCGATAGCTTCCCCCCCCAAAAAAAAAAAATAACCTCCCATGTTTTCCTAGTAGGTGAAGGCTTACACGGAAAGGATGGCTATTTTCTGGCGAGAGATTGCTGGGGGAATCGGTTTCTCGCATTCGGCTGTGGAGATTGATAGTCGTGACACTTGCTTCGAGTCATCGTAAAACTCGTTCATCGGGCTCGACTCTCCATTGAAAAAGAAAAAGAAAAACACGAAACTGTGAATCTCCAATGGTCATAAGGCGCAAATACCTTTGGCTTTCGGCTTATACGAACCCATTCATAAGTTTTTCCATCAAAATACCTTACAGTGCACATACCTGCGGAAATTCCTGTGCGCATACCTGCCAAAATACTTGTGCTAGCCACCTGTATCGCGGAAAATTTTTTGAAGCACATTTGTATATAACAAAAGGTCCAATCATCAAATTACCACTGAGAGCATCACAATCAATCATAAAGCTCGAGAAAATGAAATTATACAGAGCTTAGCAAACAAACCACAACAACACAAACACCAGTGCGTCTACACACAAACGTTAAGGTCCTTCCAAAACCACATCGCACTAAATAAATAAATAAAAAAACGACACAAGATTACAAAGCATCCCACCCCAAATGAACACCTTCGTCAGATCCCATTTCCAAAGCCCTAAATTTTCGCACAAACAACCCGATCAAAACCAAAACACGAACATTCGAAACAAATCTTACAAATAATTAAAAAAGAAAACAAACTTAATAAAACATAAATTGGGAAAAAAATCGAAGGATACCGAAGAGTAAAGGCTCCCACAGTCCCGAAATATGAGTTTATAACTCAATCACAACGGAACTTTTGTTTTGAAATCCAAAACGAGTTATAGAAATCAATTTCGGCAAATTGGGAGCACTTTCAGTTTGCTATCATACTTATTATGGAATTACTAAGCCTAAGGTTCAAAGGATGAGAGGGGAGGGGAGGGAATTTAATGGAAGGGAGGGGAGGGGAGGGAAAAGGAGGAAAAGTAATTTTACTTTGTTTGGAGGTAATTTGTAGGAGGGGAGGTGAAGGAAATTGATTAACCTTGTTTGGTTTGAAGATGAAGGGGGAGGGGAAATAAAATTATATGGACAAATATACCTTTATTTATTATGTAATATTATATTTACAAGATATGAATTGAGGGGTAAATTAGTATCATCACACACATTCTTTTCCTTCCCCTTCAAATTCCTCCAAAATTGGAGGGGAGCAGATTTTCCGTCCACAGTGAATTTGAGGGGAAAATTTCATCCCTTTCCCTCCCACAAAATATTGAACCAAACGAAGGAAAATTTTAAGTTTCCCTCACCTCCCTTTCCCTCCCCTCTTATTCCCTCCAACCAAACAATGCCTAAGTCTTGATAGCAACATGTGCTATCCGATTTTATTTATTTATTTATTTATTTATTTATTTAGTTAGTTGCGAGGTACTATACCATTAAAACTGACTTCTTGTACAGTCTAGAACACGCTCCCTAGATTTAAAAAAATAGCCGTTTTAGAATCTAGAAAAATACGCTAATATAATTAGTAAACACAACCGCGTGTATTCATTTAATTAATTAGGCTTTGTTATCCCCCGCCATTATCAGCTTTTGGTTGCTACTTATAAATTAAACTCACCAAAAATTTCAGATTCGAAATGTTCTAGCTATATAAATGCAAAGGTATCAATCCAAATAAGACTCGACAAATCTAAATTAATCATTCAAAATAATACTCTCCTTAAAGGTCAATAAAGACTATGCAATTTTTTTAAAGGTCAATAGAGACAATATTCATTTTTTTTTTTCACATTGAAATATTCGCAAAGTATACTTATTATATTATATAATTCAGTTAATCGTGCACGTGGAAATTTTATTTTAAATATAATAATAAAATTAAAAGATTATTTGAAATTTTAAATAAATCAACTTTATTATTTTAAATATAAATAATAATATAATTAAAAAATATTTGATTAAAACATATACATATAAACTACACATATTTTAGAATACTATTTTTGAAAAGTGTAAGAGGTAAAATTAAAACATATACATATAAACTACACAACATAAGATTAATATGTTTGATCAACATACATGGTTGAAAGATCCGGGACACATTTTGTGTCATACTCCTAACATTAATATTTTTCAGTTTTAGTTTTTCACTAATATATTTTACTGCCATTTTTTCAATTTGTCCACTAATAATTTTCGTCGTTTACTTTTAGTTCTCTACGCATTTGTCGTCGGAGAAAGAGAGAGATACGGGATGATCGCCGACGGAGTTGAAGACGAAGAAAAATGGCTATCCGCCGGGATCGCTGGCCTTCAGCAAAACGCCTTTTACATGCATCGCGCTCTCGTATTGGATTTTTTGTTGCTCTTAACTTTTTTTTTTTTTCGGTGATTCAGTTAAACCCTAGTTTTTGAGCTTCAATTCATGTTGATCTCAGGATTCGAACAATTTGAAGGACGCACTGAAGTATTCCGCACAGATGCTTTCGGAGCTCCGGACTTCTAGGCTCTCCCCTCACAAATACTACGAACTTTGTGTGTATTCAAGCTTTAGCTCTTTGCTGTTTCATTTATAATTTGCTCTCTTCTTTCCTTGATCGTCATTTGAAACGTGAGCTCTGTGTGTAGATATGCGGGCGTTTGATGAACTGCGGAAATTGGAAATCTTCTTCAAGGAGGAGACTAACCGTGGGTGCTCCATTGTCGAACTTTATGAGCTAGTGCAGCACGCTGGCAACATCCTACCGAGACTGTAAGGATCATTTGTCAGCTCTGCTTGATTTCATTCAATTTCCCAAGTATTGTTTCCCCCATTTTCTTCAGTGATGTCTGTTCGCTGTAAGAATTTGCATCTGGGTTCAACTCTAATCCTCGTGATTAGGAAGTTTAAAAGGTTAGATGTTGGAAGGAGAAAGAAAAACAGAGGTTTTAATAGGAACCTCGTGTAAACGATAGTGTTTTATTTACTTAAGTTTCCACTTAGCTGTACCCTATAAGTTCCTTATGGAAAGACTTGCTACTTGCACTGTCTGTCCACATATTGGAGTGGCCGTTTTTGTAATTCCTTGTTTCTTATGTTAGATATTTGCTCTGTACCGTGGGATCTGTCTACATAAAATCAAAAGAAGCTCCGGCAAAGGATGTTCTTAAAGATCTCGTTGAAATGTGTCGTGGCATCCAGCATCCTCTGCGCGGTCTCTTTCTGAGGAGTTACCTTTCTCAAGTCAGTAGGGATAAACTGCCTGACATTGGTTCTGAATATGAAGGGTAAGCATAAGATGTGTCTGTGTGGATTTAGTCCCAAGTCCCTATATTAACTTTTAATGGATATAAATTTCTGTTGACCTGTAATATAACCTTTTTTGTCCCTTTTTTAAAAGATACCGGGTGATGTATTGTGAGTCTTGACCTTGCACTTAGTTTCAAAATTGAGCCATATCAGCTTCTCTCTTATGCCTGGCCCACTTCTTTTCCGGGGAACAACTAAATTATGTTCCTTGAAAATGCATAAAATTAAAAGAAAGGCATGGAACCAGTTGATCCCTGTACTTCATTCTTAATTATGCTTTCCACTAAATTGTGGTTTGTAGTTATTAGCTTGATGTTCCTTGGTGTATTAATACTTAACTTTTGCAATGGAACCAGGTTATCGCAGTTTAGCTTACTGTCCCAATTAAAATGGTCTGGGAGACTGTTAAATTAATATGCAAACATGGAATGGCTTAAGGCTATTATTGTTAGTTGTTAAATGTTCTAAGTGGATTAGGAATACAGATTATTGTTTAGGGTTACTTCCTAATCACAGGAGACATCCATCCTTTGTATAGCATGATTATGGGGGCTCATAATCTAATAGCTTGAGAAATGTTTGCTTGAACCCATTCTTATATATTATGCATATTGACAACAACTGGCCTTCATGGCAATTTCTACTTACCTTGGATGTTATTATTGTCAATTTTATTTGGAAGTATGGGTCATCCATATTGACTAAACTGTTCTGGGACTTTCGGATAGGGATGCTGATACTGTCATGGATGCTGTCGAGTTTGTACTGCAAAATTTCACAGAAATGAATAAACTTTGGGTTAGAATGCAGCATCAGGTGAGATATGAAATAATTAAATATATAAGTTTTGTCATTAATCCTGATATCTGTTTCTCTGTAATCATTATGAAGTTCTAAGTAGACCGGGAGAGAAGATTTGTGTCAACACATGGCATTCTTTTTATACTCCTACCTTTTTTTGCCGTATCTGCAGGGACCTACTAGGGAAAAAGAGAAGAGAGAAAAAGAAAGGGGTGAACTTCGTGATCTTGTAATTGCCGTTAATCATCATCATTACAGTTGTTGTTTTCAATGGTGGAGCATACTAACAATATATCGTTTTGTTCAATTTATGTTGGTTAGGTCGGCAAGAATCTTCATGTTCTCAGCCAGATTGAGGGGGTTGACCTTGAAATGTACAAAGAATTAGTTCTTCCCAGAGTATTGGAGCAAGTAAATTTTGACTTAGATTAGAGTATTTATATTATTTCTATATGTATAATTTGATGTTCTGAACCTTTTGTTTACACTGTAGGTTGTTAACTGCAAGGATGAGCTCGCCCAATATTACTTGATGGATTGCATAATTCAAGTTTTCCCTGATGAGTACCATTTGCAGACTCTGGAAACATTATTGAATGCTTGCCCTCAACTTCAGGTGGGCACATTCTTCGCTAATAGATGAAATGCACTTTACTTAACTACATGGTGGTGATATGCGAAAGGCAATGATTATTGGCTGCGCATGCTGCTGGTTGGCTTAAGTGGCAAAGCGGTCACTAGGAGTTGCTTAGGATCTGCTCTTCTCAAGGCACTAGTCTTTTGTATACCTTTTGTAATGGAGTTGTAGTGATACTAGGGTGCACGAGAATGGTTAATGTTATAAAAAGATGGTCCAGTCAAAGAAGTCAATAACAAATTACCTAGTTCAGTTGCATTCTCATGTATGTCTTGTGCTGTTGTATTTATATTTCTATTTGCACAAAACTTTTATCACCATTATGCATGCTTTCTGCAGCCGTCTGTTGATGTGAAAACAGTGCTTGCTCGTCTGATGGAAAGGCTTTCAAATTATGCTGCTTCTGGTGCAGAAGTACGGCACTATGTTGAAATTTATTTTATTGTAGTGATTTGTTGTGATGTATTATTGCTTCATTGAGTTTACTGCTGCAGGTTTTACCTGAATTTTTTCAAGTAGAAGCTTTTGCCAAGCTAAACAGTGCTATAGGCAAGGTAAATCTTTGTCCTTTCCATCTGAAACAAGTGTAGTTAATTTTCTGGATGATGATATGAAGTGTTTGGACAAAATTAGTTTTGCTGCATCCAAATTGACTCATCAAATTAATAACTCTACTTAGAATATAAATTCAGGATAAAAATATCTCTTCATACTATTGTGGTGTGGCGATGTGATTCTCGTGTCATATTACATTCCTTGTGGAGGACATGTTTGTTTTTGTTTTGGGTGTTTTGTGGAAGAGGCTTTAGGGAGAAAAATATGATAATGAGCAGATATGTTTTGGTAATGTCTGAATTGTTCTTGATGCCCCATTAGCATTTCATTAAAAAATTACAGCATCGGTGCTAATGATTCATGGTGACGGCTTAGGATATATTCTGCTTTACTTCACATCTGTATGACAGCATAATGAATCTTCAATCATTCAGTTGTAATTGTTATTTGTCATTGTTTGTAATCCGTACCCATATATTTTTCACCTTGTTTTGGGTATGCCATTTTCTTTCAGATGATGCTATTGAGTTAAATGTGTTCATTTAGATAAAAATCCGGTCAATTTTCGGAGCATTTCTGGATTGTTTTTCATTACTGGAAATTAACTGCTATCAGCTCATGAATGAAGGTGATAGAAGCACAAGAAAATATGCCTATTGCTGGAGTGGTAACTTTGTATGCATCTCTTCTGACTTTCACTCTACAAGTACATCCTGACCGGCTCGATTATGTTGACCAAATTCTGGTAAGCTTTTCTATAACATGTGACATGTGTCATATGATTAGTATGAGTGCATGTCATCCATTTTTCACTTGCCTCAATTATGTTCGCACTCATGTTCTGATGTCCCCCTTGATGGCTTGATGTTCTGGCAAAATATTCCTCAGTTTATCTTCTTTGATAGCATAATTGATATTTATATATATATACACACACACACACAAGATGGTTTGGGCATGTGCGTAGGAGAGACTTCGAGGCCCGGGTGAGAAGGGTAGAAACATTAGAATTAAGAACGTAAATTAAAAGGGGCGAGGATTATACCTAGAAAACTTGGAAAGAGACAATAAAAAATGATTTAAAATATGTAAATTGAATGAGAAATTGGTTCAACATCGGCTGAGGTGGTTCGGACATGTCCAACGGAGGCCTCCTGATGCACCGGTGCGCAGGGGAGTTCTACAGCGGGTCGATGTTGTTAAGAGAGGTAGAGGTCGGCCTAAACTCACTTCGGAAGAGTCGGTTCAAAGAGACCTTAAAGATTGGAATATCTCCAAGGATTTAGCGGTGGATAGGAGCGCTTGGAGACTAGCGATCAACGTGCCGGAACCGTGACTTTTGCTCCTTTCTCTTTTGCTCCAAACCCTTTTTTTTTTTTTTTTTTTACTACTGTTTCTATTGGGTTTCATCTCTAGCCTACCCCAACTTGTTTGGGACTAAAAGGCTTTGTTGTTGTTGTTGTTGTTGTTGAGGATATATGTTTTGACCGAGCACGATGGTGACATGTGATCCATATAGCCGATCTCACTTAGTGGGATTAACAGATTGTTGATTGGTTGATTGATACAAACACACACACACATACACACACGATAATCTAGGATTTTGTTTTCTTTTTCCTTTTCATATTTTGTTAACAGCGTGAACGGCATTCATTTTCCTGCAGGGAGCATGCATAAAAAAACTTTCAGGAAGAGAAAAGCTTGATGATAGCAAAGCAACAAAACAAATTGTTGCCCTACTAAGTGCCCCACTAGAGAAATATAAAGATATAGACGTTGCGCTGAAGCTGTCGAATTATCCACATGTTATGGAGCATCTAAATGATGAAACGAAAAAAGAAATGGCCAGTGTTATTATACAAAATATATTGAAAAACAAGGCTTGTATTTCTACTGCTGAAAAGGTAAATTTTTTATTAACTTTACTGCAGTCGGTCTAAGTCTTTCTTTCTCTTTGACCTGCAGTTCTTGTTGTTATAGGTGGATGCCTTGTTTGGATTAATAAAGGGGCTTGTAAGTGAATCAGATGAAGATCTTCGTGATGAGGTGGTGTGGTTATAATTCCTAAATGTTCATAACTTAACTGTCATTTTTTTCCTTGCAGAATCCTTTGAATATATGTTTAAAGATAAATCACTTACTCTATATTCTTTGAGCCGATGGACATTTTTTTCTGTGTATTGACAGCTTGATGAGGACTTCAAAGAAGAACAGAATTCTGTTGCACGTCTTATACAAGTGCTTCACAGTGATGATACTGAAGAGATGTTGAAGGTAAGCATATATTTTATGTTTTAACTCAGTTATAGTGCTCTAATTTTGTTATATCACGCCCTTTTGGCCATGTTCGGTGATATTGTTTGGTTTCGTGATCTTTCCATTCCTGTACCAGATGATGTTGATGCAAGTTTCTCACGTCTACTATCATTACAACTCTGATATGTCCTGCATAAGCTGGTTTATGTTTCTGTACAATTTTTAAGTTGGTTATATCTCTATATGGCTATAACCAGTTTGTAGATTGACAAATCTGACTTGATTTTATAGGTGAAATTTGGAAATTGGCAGCAATCTTGTATTTTATTAATTTTCATATTCAACTCTAAAAATTGCTTGTATACTTCCTTCGAGGTGTAATCAGAACTTGTTCCGAGTAAAAAATAAAGAAAGCAAAAACACATAATTTTATTGACAGTAAAATAATAGGGAATGAACAAGAAGTAGGAAACATCTCAGCAGGAATAGATCTCTGCCCAACAAGACTGACTAACAAGTAGTAGGAAACTTCTCCAGCAGGAATAGATCTCTGCCCAGCAAGAATGACTAGCCAATGCTATACAAAATAAATTTCTCGTGTCCTCTATAAAAGTAAGGACTCACTTAAATAGAATACTAACACTATCAAATTAACTGTAATGAGAACCTTAATCCTATGGGTGAAAAGCCTACTAATTTGTTCTTCATAAGATATCAATATATGACATAAAAGCAACAACTATCCACCCTTTATTTATATAGGCTATGGTAAACCTAGCTGATAGTTGATAAGTTAATTTCAAGCTTATAGCTGATAGTTTATGTCTTATGGTTGAAAATCTAGCTTATATGGCTGATAAGCTAGAAGGAAGCTTATGAGATAAGCTCGAGCTTTTTAAATAAACCCGTCCTAACAAACCGAACTTATTTGAATACGAGAAGCTTATAAGCTAACCAAATAAGTTATAAGCTAGCTTATGGTGCTTACCAAACGCATCATCGCTTATTTGACAAAGAACATTCACCACCACGTGCGTGCACTTTGCTAGTACACTAAAAGACCGACTGGTATTCAGGAGTCCTGCTGAGGAGCAATGAGATTTCTATTGAAGATGATGCTAAAAAAGATGTAATACCACACTGAAGATTGTATGATCTATCAATCTGAACAAATTGACTAGAAATTAAGCAAAATAAAAATAGTTGTGTACTTTGAGTGGTAAAGATAAAGTGAGATAACAAATTCAATCATCAAGTTAAAAGATACAAAAAATAAAAAAAAAAATTAAAGAAATTAAAAGGTATGCAAGGTACCAGACACGTCTAATGATGCTGGAAGTGGTAAGAATTATTTTGCTGGTTGGGCAAACAACCGCAAGGTATCATTCTAAGCTTAAAGTATTACTTGAGAACAACAATGCATGGAGTTTCCTGCATTGTTGCGAAACAAGAAGAGAAGAGAAGAACATGGAAGAGCAGCTGATAAATACTTTTTTTTTTTTTGTTAATATTGGATCGACAAAAGATCATTCTGAGTTATTTTTTCATTTAAATTGCCCTGATATTATTTTATTTAGTGAGACACCATTCATGGAAGAATTACCTGTTTTAAGTGTGTGACATTATATTTAACTGAACTTGGCTTTTAGCTTATTGAGATGTTGAGTGTTGGCTATTTCTCATCATATTTATTTTCATTGTTTCTTTTTTCTTCCATTGACCATCTTATGCTTATTGAGTTTCAGATCATTGATACTGTAAGGAAGCATATTTTGACTGGAGGACGTAAGAGACTTCCTCATACTGTCCCTCCACTTATATTTAGTTCTCTAAAGGTATGTTCTAATCAGTTCCTTCTCAATGCGTGATCCTGCTGAGCTAATAGACTAGGCGCCATCTGGAAAAACCTCAAGGATTCACATAGCATAGGATCAGTACATGCAGTTTCCTCTGCCCTTTTTATAAATAATGCATTGTTTTATTAGTGTGGAAGAGGTAGAGAACTCCTATTTTTATTTTTCTTTACTTTTTAAGATTCTGATTTAGTCTTTGCTGGAAGAGATAAAAGACAGCGTAAAGGCATGTGTCTACGCGTTCTAGAACTTTGTAGGGTGATGATTGCCTTGTGGCAGGATGCTATACTTGCATATTATACTGTGAGGATTCGTGTGTTGCTCAAAAACATGATTTATTCCAATATTTTGTTGGTGTGAGTGTTTTTTTTTTTTCAATTGTTAATTTACTAATAACAAACTTGCGCCAGGTAGTATCTAGGCGGTGCTATTATGTTTAAGTTTTTCTCTTGAATTATTGTTTCCAGCTTGTACGCAGACTGGAGGATCAGAATGAAAGTGAATCTGATGACAAGGAATCAGCCACATTAAAGAAGATCTTTCAAATAGTGACCCAGGTATTAATGATTTTTTTTTTGCAACAATATTTTAAGCTTTATACTTTCTGTTTTAGATGCAGTGCAGTTTCTGTCCCTCTAGATGAATATAGCTTTCGATAAACATAGCTTGATATAGACATTCTCTTCATGCAATGTTAATTGACCTTCTTTCGTCCCTTGTGGTAGGGGGCCCACCTTCCCGGTTCAGTAATAGTTTCAGTCCGATTGATCACTCCATTAATTTTCCACATAGGTTTTTTTCAGTAAATTGGCGACAATTTCACCTTTTTTTTTTTTATTGTAGACCATTGATGCTTTGACGAGTATTCCAGTACCTGAACTGGCTTTAGGATTGTACCTGCAGTGTGCCGAGGTACTCCTTTGTTAACCAGGAATCTTTATTTTTAGTTTCTTTTCAAACTTGTGATTTCTAATAAATTGCTGATTCTCAGGCTGCAAATAACTGTGACCTGGAACCTGTAGCATACGAGTTTTTCACCCAAGCTTATATCTTGTATGAAGAAGAAATTACGGTATGTACCCAAGATTCTGTTGTCACATTCTTTTACTAGCTGACATTATCGTTATTTGGGTAAAATGTGTTAAATCTCTAAATAAATATGTTTTGACTAGTCATTTTTTGTTTTAATTGCTTCTGTAGGATTCAAAAACTCAGGTCACCTCTATACACCTAATAATAGGGACTCTTCAAAGGATGCATATATTCGGGGTCGAGAATAGAGATGCTTTGACACACAAAGCCACTGGGGTAAATTATTGTAAGCCTTGTGGTCATAAAATAGAGTTGTCATGCATGTCTCAGTAAAAAAATATATACGGGAGGACACTTTGTCGAGTCTCTTGTGGCAGGTCTATTTGCTGTTACTTTAAGAATTGACTTAACTTGTGATCATCTTTCTTAACCTGTCCTTAGTATTCTGCAAAGCTGTTGAAGAAGCCTGACCAATGTAGAGCCGTTTATGCATGTTCACATCTTTTCTGGCTTGATGAACATGACAGTATCAGAGATGGGGAGAGGTGTGTTGGCTGTTGGGATATGTATTATATTATGCTTTTTTTTTCAATGGTTTTTATTTCATTTTGGATTTCAAATACTGTAATTCTTTCTCTATATGCGATTTCTCGATGTTTGTCTAGGGTCTTGCTGTGCTTAAAGCGTGCTCTGAGAATTGCAAATGCAGTCCAACAAATGGCCAATGCAACCAGAGGCAATAGTGGATCAGTCGTACTCCTTATAGAGATACTGAACAAGTGGGGCGGCATCTAATTTCATTTTGTACCTTTCATACACTGTTGTCAAATATATTACTGATAAAAAAGCTTACTGTTTCTATTTTTTTTTTCCTTTTATTGTTAGGTATCTTTATTTCTACGAAAAGGGGGTCCCACAGATCACTTTGGAGTCGATCCAGAGCCTGATTGAACTGATCAAAACCGAGATGCAGGGTGATAATGTGCCGTCAGATCCAGCGGCAGATGCTTTCCTGGCGAGTACATCACGATACATACAGTCCCAGAAGGACAAAGGTGGTGCGGTGGGGGAGAAGTACAAGCTTATAGTGATCTGATTTTCCATTTTATAATTTTTCTAGAGTCGGGTGCTTTTGCTCGACAGCTAAATGGTGTTGTTAATGGTTAATTTTGGATTTGGTCTGACCGGTAATAGGAGTGACAACTCGGCTTATTCTATACGTTTACGAAGGTCTTCCTGTAGAAATTTGTGGTAAAATTCTGGAATTTGATATTCAGAATCTCATGGCTGTAGTGTTGGAGCTTTTAAAAGATTGATTTGTAGTATTGGTTAATGGTTATGAGCAATGTCCTGTTGTCAATGGTGCGGAGTTTTGATGCAATATGAAATGTATACTTACAAACTTACAATAACCACAAACATTTAAGTTTATATTGCCTCTAATTAATTGAGCTTAAAAAAAAGTTTATATTGCCTCTATTAATTATAATATATAAATGGCAGTTATTTTAGAGGTAGGCTTGACTATTATATTCAGTATATATGTTTACTAAATAGTAAATACAACATAAAAAAGAGGTGGGCTTTAACTATCCGACAACAATATTTTTTCAATATATATGTTTACTGAATAGTAAATACAACATGAAAAAAGAGAATTGTATTTCGCAACATCAATATATATTTTTATTAGAAAAGTTTGACGGGTTGACCCGCCTAATTGATAGACCGTCTACCAACAAATATTTGTGTTATTTTAGGCCATTGCCCCAAAAGAGTCTTAGCTAAAGCTAGCAACATACTACATTCCAAAGCAAATGTGAAATGAGTAGCAAAACTATTCCCAGAAGAAAAATTATTAGACAAAGATTGTGTTACAATGGAAATGCAGCAGTACGTAAAACAAGTTTGGGTGTTCTGAAATCGATCATGACTGGGAATATCAGTGAGTCAACACATTGCAAACTTGTGAGTCCAGGACCGAGCCACTGAGTCGTATTTGGGCCTATCGGTTTTGTACATGTGGGCTATTTCAGGAACCAAAGGATCATCTGGGTTTGGATCTGTTAGCAAAGAGCATACTGAAAGAAGAACCTGCACCAAATATATATTTTACCTTATCAACTTGTTGAAGTATTGCAATGTTATATATGAAGATTTTTATATATGTTTATATTATTGAAAGAAAAAAATTATGCATGTAGAAGCAGAAAATACCTTAGATATGGTGAGAGCTGGACTCCACTGATCCTTGAGGATATCTAAGCATATATTGTTATAATTGAGTGTAAATATTTTTTTTCAACTAATATTCCTACAACTAAGATTTTGTAAATATTTTTTCCAACTAATATTCCTACAACTAAGATTCTTATTCTTTCATCATCTTCAATATTTTGTTAATAAAGTCAATGGTTATGCCAACCATTTCTAAACAAAATTAAACAACTCTCAACCAAATGTTCCTTTACGATGAGTATATATATATGTGTGTGTTCTGCCATGCAAAATGGTGGAAAAAATTGAGAATCGAAAATAAGAAAGGAAAGAGAGGAACAAACTCTTTCATCTATATAGATATACATGGGTACTGAGTTGTAAAGGAAAGAAAAATAGAAAAGAGCAACAGACTCTGAAAAAGGAGGAAAGGAAGAAAAAAAAAAAATAAAAAAAAAAAAATAAATAGATTTATGTCCAATTATCGGACATAAAAATATCAAAATAGAAGAAACAAATAATAATTTTATTTGTTTTATGATATATCTTTTTATTTTTAGTGCTCAATTCTCGATTCCGTTCCCGTTCGCCAGAGCTCGTAAATCTGGTGTGCTACAGATTTAGAGACGTTTGCCGTTGTATCTTTGGGGAAGTTACGCCTGAACCGTTAGCAGCCACACGGGGCGTATTCTTCTTGCGGAAAGAGTTTTACTCGCCTCGGCTAAAAGATCTTTCCGTTTTTCAGTTTTCGTAGGATTCCCGTGTAATTTTGACCAAATATCCAACATATATTCCCATTATTGTTAATGTTTGGGTGAAATACTTTAGTCCTGAAGGCTACCTGCATAAGTTTTTTACTTCCTTTAATTGTTATAAAGCAACTTATTGATTCAAGTATCATACTTCTCAACATAAATTGTATGGAGCTAGCAACACTCATAGAGTTATACGTAGAATACGTGTTAATATATCATCATTTGTGAATAATTGTGGATGACTTTTATAAGCCGCGCTGCTAAATAGAGTGACA